ACCGTGACCTAAAGAAATGGGCTAGTGACTTCTCTTGGGGCTTGGAGGGGGGAGCTATAACAGCTTCCTCAGCCTCCGGTTGCCCTCGCAGCCACTGCGTGCTAACTTGAGAAAGCACGGGGCATTGCTCCGGGTGCAGTCTGCGATCGTAAACTTTGTAACCGCAGAAGGAGCACGGATGTCCCTTGGCAAGGTGGGGCGAGAAGCCCTGGCATATAAAGACTGCACGCTTGTGTAGCCTTGACCAGTCCTTAGGATGCGCCTGTCGGAAGTGTGACTTAACTTTGGTGTGATCAAAAGTCCAGAAGTCACACGTGAGGCACCGATGAATCAGGACCCTGGCCTCCGCTGTCTTTGAGAGCGCCGCTACTCGATGTTGTGGGAGCTGAGCAATGTCCTGTCGCAACTGAGAGAGGATCCTTACCTCAGGGTGACTTGAGAGTTTGTCTGTCGCATTCAGAGATCGAAGCTTCTGGGGTTCCGGGCATGCTCCTGACAACAGGTGGTCTCGAAGGCCTTTCCATTGATGAAATTTGCGCATGCAAGCGGCGCATTGCGGCATCCCATCCACCGCGTGGAGTTGTCGGTCGAAGCTTGAGGGTACAAATCTGTCAATGCTGGCTGGATGTACTCGCGACTTGTGTAAATGTAGTCCATTTGCTGTCTCGAAGGAGGCTTCGCAGAGTGTGCACGCATGTAGGGCTACAGGGTGTTCTGCTGCTTCGGGGAGTTGTGATAGGAAGGACAGCTTGTCCCGGATGACTTGCAAAACCGAGTGCTCGGTTGTGATGTCTGGGCTTCTGGCTGCGCGTCGCTCAAGTTTGCGGAGTCTCTTCCTTAGCTTGATCTGCATCACTTGGACCGGATCCTGAATACTGTAGAGCTGGAAAAGATCCTTAGTGGTGATGCGGCTGGTATGTGCTGGCAAGTTCAGCACGGATCGCACCTTGTAAGCATGCCAGCTACGTAGCTGCTTTGCCGACTCCTCACTTAGTCCGACGTCTGATAGGCCTGTCGTCAGTGTGCTCAGGACTGTGCTTTGCCAAACCTTGAGTCGCGACATTGTGCTTGCATACCTACGATTGTAGACAAATTGGCGAACTTGATGCAGCTTTTGCTTGGCCTCCCCTATGCGGTAATGCAATGTCTGCAGCTCGAAGTGGTTGTAGGAGATCATAACCCCCAGGTACTTGCTACAGGAAACCCACTGGAAGGCGGGGAACGATTTGTTGGGCCCGATGCGCCATCCGCGAACCTGCTCGCCCTTGGAGTTTGTGATCCAGCAGCCGTGTTTATTCATCACGTTTTGTGATTCTCTACCCGCCAACTTCACCAAGATGACGCACTTGCCTGTGTTGACTCTGAGACGGTGTTTGCGGACCTCCTCAAGTAACGCTGCGATGAGCGCATGAATGGCCTTGAGGTCATTTTCGGAGCGGATAGTCCGATGGAGTGTAAGATCGTCGGCGTATCCTGTCAGAAACTTCAAGACCTGCTCAGCACCGAATAAGTCAACTAGAGAGCGGAAAAGGTCGCCTGTAAGGAGCGAGAAGAGTGTGGGGGCGAGCTTACATCCTTGTTTTATGCCTGCTGTGGTTTCGACAGAGGTGGAATCACCTTGCGCGTGAAGGACATAACGAGACCCGTCATGCAGAGCCTGAACAAGGTGGACTGTGTCCTGATCGGCCCCTTCTCGCTGAAGAAGGTCGATGATCTCTTGGCGAGAGACTGTGTCAAACGCTTGGCTTAGGTCAAGAGCGAAGGTGAGGCCACCAACTAAGCTAGGGGCCTGAGTGCCTTGTTGTAAGGCATGTCTCGTGGGGTGGGCCTGTTCTAACAGGGAACGAGCCTCGCGCAGGTGATGCACTACGCGTTCAAGCGCGTCTGAGAGCCCCCGACCTGGTAGATATGCGAACTGTGGCATGTGCTTGAGGAACGAGAGGGTCAGTGGCTGAAGCGCTTCCCTGGCCGCTCCCGCCAGGCCCTTAGCGTCAGGTCTAAGGATGCCCAAGGGTCTCAAGTTCGCTGGTTTGTCAGAAGGTTTGCCCGGCTTGGGGATTAAGCAGAGATCAGCATCTACGAGGTCTGATTCGAGGCTTTCTTCGGCCTGCTTGGATGCTACGTGTTTTGAGAGGATCGGTGCTACGATGTCGCTACACAGTCTCCACACAGCCGCAGGTGCGGCTCCGTCAGGAACAGCCTTATTAGGCTTGATGGAATGAATGTGAGCTGCTAGTTTGGGCGGCTCCAACTCAGGGAAAGCTCCATGCAGAGTCCGTAACGGAGGGTGGGCCGCAAAGACCTGATTTGCATAGTCCCTGAGGGCTGCTAGCTCCTGCGCAGGACCCAGCAGATGTCCTGTGCTGTCCTTTAGCTGAGCTCTGCGCGCAGGCTGCCAAGGCTGCAGCTTTTTGAGGGTCTGAAAGGAGATATGTTGGTCGCCTTCGGCCAGGCTCGCGTCCACCTCCGATATGAAACTCGCGATCCTATCTTTCTTTGCTTGTTTCACAGCCTGGCGATGTGCCACTTGCGCTAGCTCAGCTTCGGTGTCCGGCGGACATGGCGTGTTCTGTTTAGGAGGCTGTGCCATTGCTTTAGGTGACTCGATCAGCTGTGCTGAGGGAGCTGTGTTCGCAACCCTGTCATAGGTACTGGCCCGCCACATGCGACGGGTTTCTAACTCCAACGGGATCGGTCTTCTTTTGGGGATTTTTGGAAAAAAGCGTTCTGCACCTTCCAAAAGCAACGCATTCCATTCTTTGGGGTCCTGGCAGGCGTCAATTCTGGAAGCTATCCAGCTATGCAGTGCCTTTGCCGTCTCATCCTCCTCTCTGACCGATGTCTGTAGAGCTAAAGAATCGTAGCGGCGCGTGCTGAGTTTGTGGGGAGGGAGAAGCCAGTGATGTTGGAGGGGTACCTCAGCTTTAAGCGGATAATGCCCTCCTTTCTTCCAACTTCCCAACGGGCAGTCCGTCCAGGGGGCTGACCTTTTTGCTTTGCCTCCCGCCGTAGATTCTTTGGTTAGAATTTGTTAGAATGAAATCGATTTGCGACTCCACGCCTCCTTGTGAGAAGGTGGCTACGTGGTCACATTGCCAGGTGTTAAGGGCTACCAAACGCAACCTGAGCAGCAGGTTAAACAAGTTGGATTCGTCAGGGCGGTCCTCAGTGGGCGGCTTCACGTGCGTTCCCACTAATGGAGGGCTCGGACGCAAGGAAGTGTTAAAGTCACCCGCTACCATGAGGGAGTCCCTCTTAGGCACCTGCTTGATCACCTTGGACATGACGGAAAGCACCTTAGCACGGTCGTCCTTATTGGACTGGATGGTCTTGGCTGAAGACCAAGCGTGTTGGTACACCGCGACAACAACCAGCCGAGTACCTGCAATGTCTGCACGGGCTTCTAAGACCCTACCCGGGCTCCACTCCTTCCAGCGTAAGCTCTTGGGAGCGAACTTGGGCGAGAATAGGATCATGACTCCATCAGCGCGGGTCGTAGATGGAGCTCGCGGTTCTTGCCGAGTTTTACGCTTCGCAGCTTGTTTAGGCCGGGTGTTTGGTTTGGTAGACTCCGAGGCTGAGGAGATGCAGTACCACCCAGAGACACTGAATTCACTGGTCTCAGTCCAGTGTGTTTCTTGTAATATGAGGACATCACAGTGATGGGAGGCTTCAGCTGCTAGCCACGTTTTAAGTTCGCCCCATTGCTGCTGACCTAGATGTCCTGCGTTCCACGAAATGACTCGGATGGACCTTTCCAACCGGCCTGCCCTGCGGGAGGCTGTGCCATATGCAGGGGAGTCAGCAGTCTGTGACTGAAGCTCTCTTCGAGTGGGTGGGGGGCGTACCCCCAGACGGTCAACCAGGGTAGGTGTCAGGACCTGCCCTCGGTATGGTACGGGCCCGTCGCTACGGACTGTCCTTCTACATGCTGTCTTGAACGAATTCTTACGAAGAGATGCAAAGTTTTGTGAATGCACTGGCAATTGCGCCATCCGCTACTTTCGTCAAGAGACCGAAGCCTAATGACTCCCTCCACTGCGCGGAAGTGGAAACCCTACCGCCTGCCCAGTGTTGCAATGTTTTAAACAGTGTCTGGGCCCAGGAATTGGGACCTGGCGGCTCAAAGCAGCTCCTGTATGAAAAGGGAGAGGACCATGGCGTGGAAGGAGGCACAAACCTTTCTGTTCAGAAAAGGGCCCGGTAGGAACCTCTAGCACAGCAGTTGCGCCCCAAGCCTGTTCGAAACCTCTCAATCAGCGCGGCCGCTTGAGCACTTGTGGCGGCTACCACTACTACTACTACTACTACTACTACTACTACTACTACTACTACTACTACTACACTACTACTACTACTACTACTACTACTACTACTACTGCTACTACTACTATACTACTTCTACTTCTGCTTGTGCTTCTGCTTCTACTTGTACTTCTACTTCTAATTCTGCTTCTACTTGTACTTCTACTTCTGCTCCTACTCCTCTCCTACTTACTTCTACTACTTCCGCTACTTCTACTTCTACCAATCTACACTTCTACCCTTCTGCACTTCTGCACTTCTGCACTTCTACTTACTTCTACTTACTTCTACTTACTTCTACACTTCTACATACTTCTACATACGTCTACACCATTCTACACTCTTCTACACTCTTCTACACTCTTCTACACTCTTCTACATTTCTACACATCTATAATTCTATACTTCTTTACCTGTATACTTCTATACTTCTACTTCCGCTTCTACTTCTGCTTCTACTTCCACTTCCGTTTCGACTTCGACCCCTACTTCTATTTCTACTTCCACTGCGCCGCGGCGCGTTGGAGTAGGAGGTAACTCCGTGACAGGAGCCTTGGTTATTAGCATTAGCCATCTTTCGAGTCGCTTCACTTCTTTAAGCGGCACGGCCTAAGGGTGAACATGCGGCGGATTGTCTGCACGATGACAGCAAGTATGAAAGTATCCCAGGCACATACCTGCTCGGCAGCCTTGCCATGCCAGTTCTGGAGGCCACAGAAGGCTCCCGCCTGGTCGGGATCTCAGGCAAGCTTTCTTGCAGCATCTGCAAACTCAGCGATCCGTTCAAGCTGTCCAAACGACATTTCAATACAAGGATCTCATCTTCAGAGTTAACTTGGCATTCAGCATGCTTGCTGTATGTGGCCTTGGCCGAACTTGGGACCGTGCTGCCTTCGCTGAGATCGTCGTCAGCAGCGGTGGCATGTACAACACAGCCTTCCCCAAGTGGGAAGATGCTACCTCCACAGGCGGAGAGTTTCTCGGCGTCGACGAAGCAGCAACTCGAGCCGAGTTGGGTGACCAGTGCTGTTTTGCGTGCCCGGCAGGAACTGCGAAGTATGATGGACAGCGGCTGGGCGGCATAGAGTAGGGTCCGCTGATCACTCCTCAGAGCAGCATGGTACCTGGCGAACAGATGTCGAATATGTTGTTTTTTTCGGAGATGGGCTAAGGTTTGCTTATGCCTATGCCAAGCGCGGGCAGGTGCTGCTCTGTGAGCAATGGGCAGAGCTTCACCCCAAGGCCACGGAATGGTTCTCCCAGCCGCTCAGCGAGGCCGTGAGACCTTCAGGCTCTGAAGCTCCGCGCAGGTGAAAGTGGTCAGTTGCCACCCGGGCTGGACATCTACTCCGGCTGTGGACGAAGCCTACGGCTCAAGCAGCGAACCTGAATTGTTACAAGGAAAGCATTCAATGGGCCTCGTGGGCTGGTGTGCTGGAGTTGCTTGTCAGGCAAATCTTACTTGGAGCCTATGCGCAACACGTGGCAGGGTGCCGAAGGCATAATTTGGCGGCTTGGACTTTCTTTCTCAGCATGAAATCAAACCTTGCCACCGGCAAGCTGGCGTTCTGAAGGCTTTGCGTGACGGATTCGGCCGCCATCGAGCCCGGTGCCTTCTACCTGGACCGGGAGCCTCAAGTCAAGCACATGGGAGGCAGGAGCTTCAGAAAAGCAGGGAAGTTGACTGGGCACACACCGCGGAATGCCATCTTTCTGAAACTGCACTGCTTCAAGCTTGCTTTGAGCCCGTACGGATCGATGGTGAGCCAGCACCCGGTGTATACCATTGTATATCCTTGAAACGAGGCGGCTAACAACGCATGCGCACGTCGGGTGTTTCCGTGCACACCTCCCTCGAGATGTTCTACGGCATGTTTAGGGTTGCTGGGATGTCTTGGAGCGGGGCGGCCTGGGCGGCAGCATTCTGCTGCAACAGTCGTCACGCGAGCATCCACGGTGCTGTTTGTTCATGCCCTCTGCCTTTGCTCTGCCTGCCTGTGTGCTTGGATGACCATTTGGCTCGAGATTGGTACTTCCAGATACCCCAGGTTGAGTTGGCCGTTCTTCCATCTTGGGTTTTGAGTTTTGAGTGGCATGCCCTCAGGAGCGTCTCCCGTCCATGCCTAACGACTCTGCGCGATTTGGATTCAACGGTCTCCTGCAATCCTTTGAGTTTCGGCGTGCTTTTGGAAGAACTCATTTGCAGTAACTCCTGCGGTCTGCTTGGGTTACTCACACGGTGACTGAAGCACGCAACTGCTAATGATGTGGCACAAGCAAATCTACCTGCAGACTTTGGGCAGAGCATGTTACGTTCGGGTGCTTTGCCTCTTTGTCCCGCTTTGAAACCAGCTTCTATGAAGCAAGCAGGAGCTTTCTTCACGGAGGGCACGATTACCAAGAACTCTCCTGGTGAGGTTGCCGACATGATGCGATTACTTGAGGTGGCTTTTGCGTATCACAGCGAGCTAGGCGAGCTCTTGTCAGCAAAAAGCACGATGCAGGATTGGGCCAATGGCCGCAGAGACTCGGAGCTGCGCGTGGCTTCTGCCCCACTGGCTGCCATGACCTCGCCGATCGTGACCTGTCGGCAGACTGCGTGTCATGTTGTTGTGGGTTCTGGATTGTTCTGACTGGACCAAGGATCTGCAGCGCTTCATGGGAACATGGTACGTCCCGTGGAAACAAAGCATATCGTAACTGTGATAATGATGGAGACTTCGTTCGTCTGTCGGCTGTGAGGGCCCTCGTTTACTGCGCTGCACTGCACTCATGTGCGTGTGCATAAGACCCTTTCTTGCACGGGCCTGAGGTCATAGCCAACATTCCGACTTTCTTTGACAGAGGCACAACGCACAATGTAGAGAACTACAAGCTGGATGACGGAGGACAGGTGCAGTTGTGGAGTTGCTTGACTTGGGGCATGCAGTTTGTAAAGGAAGGGTGGTGCACGTCGACTTCACCTACAGAAAGGCGGAGGGGGCTGCGGAGTCGTTTTCCCGCAGCCCGACCTGAGCCTCGTCGTTGAAGGCCGGCTCGGGGAAGCCAGGGCTCCTACAGCAGCGGGCCGAGGCCCGTTGCCTTAGGGGCTGCCCCGTCTCCAGCTGAATGATTCTGTGGCGCGGTTTCTTGCAGGTCGTGAACGAAGCATGCACGCAGTGGGCTATCTCACCCAAACTAGGCTCAATTTTGAAGTTGCGATTCACAAGCCCAAAATCCGCACAGGGTGCCATCTTCCTGTCGCCAGGTGTCTTTCTTCCGCTGAGGATTGCGTATTTGGTGGCGGACTGTGCAGAGGATGGGGCTGGCTGCAGGGATCCACTCACGGTGCAGCAGCTGAGCCATCTGTAAGCCAAGAGGATTACTCCACGACTATCATCGGAGTGCCCGACAAGTCCTACATCTGGATCATGGCAAGAACGCCGACCGTAGACCAGGCCCCTTCAAGGTTTGAAGCGTGAAGCGGCTGCAGTTTCTTCCCTGTATGCCCTCCGAAGACCGAGGCAACTTACGACGCTCTCTTGGCCAAAGCCAGATCTTTCGGTACCTGGCAGGAATCAGTGTGCTCAAAGTCTTGAGCTTGGGCGGCTCCAAAATCTGAGGCTACAACACCGCAAGCATCCTCCGAGTTCCGCAGGAGTGAGATCTTAGTAGCGCTTAGCGGCGAAAGCGTGTTAATGCCTTCACCTGGCCTTTAACGACAGAGGCCGGGCTGATCTGATGTTAAGCTGCGGCGAGGGAGCACACAGAGAAGCTTCCACAACAGCGGTTGAATTCGATTCGAGTTCCTCAGTTAAGCAACACAGCAGCGGTTGCTGCCAATTTTCTCTGGGTCGAGTGCACTTGGCAGCCTGACTCGGCTTTTCAATCTGCAGGGCATCGTTGCTGGAGTTACAAGACTGCCGGCAGCGGTGTGAGGAGACGCTCGAATCGACTCACCAGAAAATGGCTGGACTTTCGGGGGCGAATGATTCTGCTTGTGGTACTGTCAGGTGCCACGTCCCGGCACCGCAGAGTTTGGTCAAGCTTAGCAGCAAAGTCCAGAAATGCCGTGAGACGAAGATGACCACGAGAGAAAGCTTCTTTGACCTTGCACATCCTTGCACTGCGGGCATGTTGCAGCACTCACGAGAAGATACACCCACCCATCCGCACACACAACCACACACGGAGAGGTTCCACTTCGCTGCTGCGTTTGTTGTGGGCGCCATGAGCGAGATCACATCTTGCATGTGCTGAGCTGGGATATGCAAGTGCCGGACGAGCAGCGCACACTTGGAATCGTGGTGGCGGTCATCATGCTCTGCCTGTCCTGCACCTGCCTGGCGATGTGCAGCGCGTGCCTGTGCGTCTGCGTGCGAGGTGTGCCAGCCAAATATGTACCCCAGATTGAGGCCGTCCTTAAGGACCTCGAGTCTCAAGGCTACCTGCCCAGATTCTCGGATTCCGAAGGCGGGCGGCAGGACCGTCAGGACGCAAGGGCGGAGATTGACGACCTATCGGACTTGCCGAAGCTGGAGGAGATGGAGTGGGAGAAACCTCACGTTCCAGCAAAGCCTGGCAAAGTCCTTCCCTCGTCTCTATAGATGCCGGCTAGCCGCTAGCAGCTCTAGAGCCCGAGGCTGTTTCTCGCGCGACTTCCCCTTCACACCGAAAAGTCGGTTGTTGCGGTTCTGCAGAAAGCAGCTTCAGAGCAGCCTTTCGCAGTGTGGCCGCAGCGCAGGCGTTGCTGGGCCTGGTGAAGACAGGGGAGTGCAGCACCTAGCGGTCCCGGCTCTTCAGGGCCCAGCTGTGCTAACTGTACCCCTGCCTTATCTGCTCTCTGCTCCAGAGGTTCAGAGACTTCACATTCTCTTCAGAGCTCTACTCGTGCACCTGACTGGTTTTGCTTCAAGGGTTGGGCCAGAGCCTGCGGATGCGGTACCGGCAGTGGCTGCTTGTCGCTGAAATCCCGTTTCAGGGATCTCTTCAAGCTGCTATCCCTGGCATGTTCCTGGAGAACACAGGAGCATCACAGCTGCAACAGTCTGTGCCAGCATGGGAAGTCGTTCATCCATGCCAAATGTTATTCGGCTCACCGCACAGAGATTTATGCAACAGCAGTGGAGAGAGATAGGCGAGAGGCTGTAAGTCGGGGCTTGGCCCCAGAACGAGTCAGATGACTAAGGTCACAACCTTATGTTGTGAAGGTGCAGCAAATTTTTTGGCACCGCTGCCATGTTCTTGACAGAGGGAAGACAGGATTAATTGCACTTTGACTGAAGCCATGATGGCCGCTGCGGTTAGTGCATGCAAGTACGGTTCTGCGACTTGACATACCGAAGGTACCTGACCTGCAGTTGGCATTTTCAGCTGCAGAAGTGAAGTTGGTTGGCCTTGCAGGGGCTTCGTTCGAGCTCCAGAATTCAACATCGCGGAAGCCGAAGAGCAGGCCACACTCAAAGGCTTTATTGCTCCATAGGATCGAGTTGCTCCAGCAACCGCGAGCACCTGATCAGTAGAAGCGTTTAGGCTCATTGAACGTTTCTAGCGTCGACTTCCTGTCATTGCAAGGTGGGTCCTCAGCTGTGCTGGAGCCTGGCCTCACGCACCGACGGCAGTGCCCAACAGGCTACCGCTTGGTTTCGAGCAACCGCACCTTCGCGAAGTACCTACGGAAAGGGCGAGGACGATTGGTTTTGGTTCGAAGGATCCACCATTGCCTTATGCCGAAACCCGGGTCTGTGCTGAATGGGGGAGGAGTTGCTGGTCTCTGGGACTCACATTCTTCTGCGGGGTTTGAGGTCGTGTCGTGCTGCCAGGCAGAATGGCCATTCATCCGGGACATTTTGCTGTGGCTCTATGACAAGTTTCCAACAAGGACTTGGCATCCTCTCGCGGCATCCGTGAGGTGAGCGTCCGGTGCAGGAGACCAGAGCTGCGCCGCGTCATTGGCAGGTGCGGGTCACAGCGAGCATTTTTTTCTTCCGCCTTCACGCATGTACGGCATTGTCTTTTCGACCGAGCCTGCAGCAACGATCTTGTGCTCAGATGATTTACCGCTTGTTTGACAAGTGAGGCAGTGCAGCTGTAATTTATACTTCTTGGTTTATACTACATGTGATGGACCTATCCGACCTGGGAGCAGCCGAGAGCAGAAACCTGGACTCGTTTCAGTCGATGTGGACGCAATGGCTTCTGCTGTCTTCAATTGCCAGTGGGACCAAGCCTCACATAATTTTCCATGTCCGAGTCTTAAGTCGAAAATGGCACAAGGTCATGGCAAGCCAATGAGAGTGACGTTGTAGCGTGTGAATAGGTCCTCGACGACTGGGGGTACCACGATATCGGCTTCCGGAACCCGGAGATGCGTACACCAACTTTGGACTCATTTCATCACGAAGGTGGACACTGGTTTGAGTGCAGTGTGGACTAGTCGACCCTAGTCGACCCTCGGGTCGATGACGAATTCTTTATGTCAGGAATTACTCTCGACCAGTACTACGTGTTACCGACATGCTCCCCCAGCCGAGCTACCTTCTTGACAGGGTACCTTTACAGATGCTTTGGTGTGCTGGCTGTATCCAGCACTGACTAAAGACATCTGTCCTGGTGGAATGAGGCGACTTCCCATTCATCATGGTATCAACTCCAAGTTGAAGTTCGAGAACGTGGGGCCATGTGGCAGCATCTTCTGCCTAGTTGCCCGAGAAGAAAGTCGGAAAGTGTGCAGTGAAAGGATGGCGGTGTTCTGTCCTTGGATCTCAGTGGAACTTCGCGAATCCGAATCGTGAAACAGTTTCTCCATAATTACTTTCGCTGGCGTACTGCAACAGATCCTGCCAACACATTGACACCAGACCGTCGTCATGTAGAGCTTGACAGGCCGTGAGAGCGCCAGCCGCAAAGATCCGCAAGCAAGTGAAGCAGGTAGTGGTAGACGTAGGCTCCGCACCAAGGCTGCCACTGGACGAGAAACTCTTGCCGGCGCTCTTGAAGGTGCTTCTCTGGCCCAAACTTTTGCGAAGTGTTATGTTTTCCAAAGCCCCACTCGGGTGTTTAGAGTGCCTAAGCCTCGAAGCATCTCCAGGAGCAGGGCTACAAGACACATGCAGTTGGGAAGTGGCATCTGGGCTTCTATCGTGCAGCAGCTGGGACGCGAAGAGTTCTTACGTACTTTTCATAACCGCTGAAAGAGAGAGAGCGCAGAGCTTGCGTAAGGCTTACACGCCGACCTTTCGAGGATGGGAGTGTCCGCAGCTGTGAAAGCTTTCTGTCCACTGTCTCCTGCCTCCAGGGTTTGACAGCTTCTACGGATACTACATGGGCTCACAGGCGTACGCAACGCTGTTGTTCGCACATGCCACCCAAGATCTCTCTTTTTGTATCGCAGGGCTACTTCACTCACAAGCTTTACACCTACTACGATTTCCATCGCCAAGACAAGCCGAACTGCGGCAAGCAGTGTTCGCGAGTGGACTGGAAGGCAGTTTCTCGACAGAATAGTTCGCAGTTGGACGCGAAAGTTGACTTTGGTGAATTGCCTGACGGTCGGTCCACAAGGTTGTGTTTTGTTTTGAGGTTTCATCTAAGGCCGGGATATACTCGACACGGCTCTTCACGGAGGAAGCAGTGCGCCTCATCCGCCGCAGCAAAGCTGCAACAAGTTCCTGCAAAACCAACGGCCAACAGGCTCTGATAGGCCCCCAGGCACATGCCTTGGCTTTGCAGCGGCTGTGGGGTGACTGATACTCACAGCTCACAACGCTATCTATGTGCAGGTCACAGCGCGTATTCTCCCGGCCAGCCACTTTTCCTGTACCAGGCTGGCAAGGAATGCAGGGCACAGCCTTGTCAGCCAGTGGCAAGATATTCGAAGGCATGGCAAAATGTCCATTATCCGGTCGAAGTTCCACGACGGTTTCTCCCGCAATTCAGCAACCTGATCAGCAACACGACACGGCATCTCGGATCTTGAACCGCTTTTTGCTGAGCCGACACTGTCTCTCTGTTCTAAACTCACAGGTACCCCCGACCCGCCAGCCCACACTGCCGTGACACAACATGCAGTCGCCCTCTGACTCTGTTTTTTTCTACGAGGGATGCGCAATCGAAATCCTAAGACTCTCGTTCCGAGAGTCTAGCATGGAACCTCATCAAACTTCCCGGAGGCGAATGGGGCGGCGGTAGGCACAGGAGAAATGCAAGCTACTTCTGCCCGAAGCCTAACACACAACACCTCGGAGGCAACTCGAGCAGAAGTCTAGCAGAACTAAATATGTAACTGCGGCTCTGAAACGAACACCGAGACGACTTATGTGCTCCGCTTCGCTCTGCACAGTTTAGCGAAGAGCGACACTGAACACTCGAAGAATGAATGACAGGTCCAGGAATCGCAATTGCCTTGCAACCGCTGCCGAAACGGGCAACCGAAATCTGTTAACCTTAACCACCCCGCCCGGTTAAGGCCGAAATCTGTTTGATTTAGCCGCCCCGACGGGTTTAAAAGCCGAAGTCTGCCAACCCTTGAATTCCCACAGCATTCGCTGTTCGAAGGGAAGGTACGGCATCTTCTATTTTCTCCAAGATGGACCGAGGTTGTGTAGAGTCTCAAGAAAGGCGGCTAACGTTTCCATCCGAGAGGATGATGTGCTGCGCACCTTCAAGCCCTGAGAATCACAGGTAAAAAGGAGCTCAAACAGCTCGGGAACGGCTGTCAAGCTGTCAAGCGAGCAAAGCAGGTTGTTACATTGTTGCATGTGTGAGCACGGCATGGCCTATTTTTTTTTCTAAATGTGCCAGGCCTTGCTGGACTTCGGAAAGAGCCTTGATCTGAGGCAGGTTCACGCCGCCATGGTCGCCGCTGTTGACGAAGGCATTGCAAGCATCAACGTTTCTTGTCTGGGATATTCACTTGCGCTTCTAGGCTTCTGCGTTACAGTCGACACCCGACGCAGTGCAGTGCCATTGATGTTGTCAGCCTTTTACCAAGGCGGCTTTGAGCAGCGTCGGTGCCTGGGTCGAAAACCTGGTGTGCCAAGTATTCATCTATCTGCGGCAGCATGCAGGCAGAGTAGATCGTTCAAGATGTGTATATGCCTGAAAGAGGAACGGGAGTGCATTGTATCGTTTCTGAGATTTCCACAAGCTGCAAGTCCATCTCTTGCTCATGGCATTGTAATCACTCTGCCACCGAGGCATGTTGGAGAACTCTGTCATCATAGCTGCTCTGTTGCAAGCAGGGCCCTCGACGTTGTAACCGCATCCGACAGAGGTGACCGGGGACAATGGAGGAGCCATCGATGAGTGCTTACCGAACGGAGCTTCGAACTACCCTCTCAGGCGCCACGTCGAAGTGGCCTTCATTCATGTCTCGACTAGGGATGCAACTAGAATCTCCGATATCCACAAGTGGAGTGCAGGGGTCAAACGGTCAACATGGATTTGCATGCGAAACACATCGCCGTGGAACGACCTGGTCTGGCCCGTCCTGCTGCAGGGGTGGCAAGTGCAGCGTCTGGGAGGGAGGTGCCCGCTCTACAGCACTGGTCTATGCACCGGGACGTGTTCCTCAAGGCCTCACCCGAAACTGTGAGTCCAGAGTTCTTCAAGGTTGCTTGATGGTGCGTTGAAATTGAGTAGCTTATAACAACTACTGCACAATGGCGAAAAGTTCCGGATGAGCCACAACCGGGAGCATCGTCGAGTCAAGACCAGGAGACCTGACCGTTTCTGCGTCTTACTGAGGTTACTACTGATTCTGAAGCCCTGCAAGATGTGAACCATGCAAGCACATCTTGACAAGTTCGGCAAAGACAGTGAGCAATTCTGTGAGCACCACATACCGCGTCACAGGGCGCTCAAGCCCAGAGGCGCCATAGATTTCTGCTGTCCAGCCAGGGTTTTGAAATCCCCCACCTTGAGATCCTGCTCTACCGCAATGCTGTTTGTCTGTTATTCACCGCTTTACCGAAGAAGCGAAACCTTGTCCGCCATGCAGGCCTTGTCTTCCCTGGCCTATTCCATGCCAGTGACTGGCTGCCCACCATCATGGAGGGCCTTCTTGAAGCCAAAGTCAAGGCCTTCTGATGCGAACCGAAGCTCTCAAAGGACTCGAAACTCGCTTGCCCCTGCTCGCCCTGCGAGGGCACCAAGCCATTGGACGGTCTCAACCTTTGGCCCGCCCTGGCCCAGAACGCGTCGTCACCTAGGAGTGACATCTTCTACGGCATTGCGGAGCCTCGACTGACCGACTGACCGACTGACGTCTGGGAGTGCAGGTCCAGTCAAATTGGGTTGGCGGGTTGGCTCAGCATAGATGATTCAGCTTTTATTCTATGCCGTCTCTTCTTTTGGCTTTGAAGGATCACACCGTTGGATTCCATGGCCCAGCTCTGCGAACTGCTGACGGCTGGACGCCCTGCCGGAAATACAGCAGAAGAGTGTGGGACGGTCAGCTATCTTAAGCTACTGGGTCCAGAGGCATTGTCGTAGCGTGTGGCAAGCACCGGTCCTGTCTTTTCTGTAGTAGACAGCTTCAATGAGCTGAGATGGACGCCAGGAAACTTCTGCTGAATGGCGGAGGTGGAAGCGGCCGATGGTCGAATGCTTCAAGGCCAAGCTTGCTCTTAATGCACTTAATGTCTGCGAAATCTATCGGGGCACTCCAGTCAGGCAGAATCCTGGTCGAGCATTGTCATACTGGACGTTGTGCAGTCTCAGCTTCTGCCATTTAAAGCATGGACCCTTGTCAATCTTCTTAGTGGGATTCCGAGTTCAGCTCCATTACAAGTGCGGGGTGGTCTCCATCGGAGAAGACCAGGGTAGTCTCCGATCACCGAGCCCGTCAAGTCGCGGTCAACAGTGCGGGAATTTGTAATGCAGTGATGTCACAGATGACCATAGCTAGTGCGCACACCATCTTCGAAGGGGCCATGTAGAAGATTGCCCGCGTGAACAGCCATACGATGATGCAGAGGGGAGGTGTTGTTTGCGCTGACTTGGAAGGCTGCTTGCGGCTGCCACAGTGACGCCGCACAAGACCTTTGGTTGCATATCGGCAACCGTCCGCCTGTTTCGCAAGTGGCTCGCGGTAGCAAAAGATGTCAGGATCTACCCTCAGCTTTTCGACCTGAAGAGAGACCCGTCCGAGAGATTTGACTTGAGCCAAGAGCGACCCGCAGCTCGGCAGGGTTCCCATCCCTGGATGCCTGCGTGTGTGCAGCAGAGACCAGGATATCCTGGGACGTCTCAGATACCTCCTCTTCCACTACGAGCGGTCGGGTAGACCCCAGGCGCGATGCACGGCATGAGATCCCGATGCGCACCTCATTGTCGCTAGGTGCTGCCTGATCGAAGTTGCCGACCGTTCTCTGCGCGACACTTGGCCAAAATAAAGACTGCCATCATTTCTCTCGGAGAAGTGGACCTGCTGAGGAATGAGCCGGCAAGGTCCCTGGCTTGGACCATGGTGCTGAAACGCTGAAACGTGCCCCTCTGGAGGGGAGGCCCGGCGGCGAAACCCAGCAGCTGATCCACAGGGCAGTTCAGACGCAATGCAGCTTTGCCATGCTTTGCCCATGGGTTCCAGATGGTGTCAAACCAGGATGACACTGCTTTCGTTTAGATCGCCTCGATGAAGTCAAGGCCGCGATGGTCAGCATCATTCAGATCAAGCATCTCTGTGAAGCTCCGACAGGTTCAGCGACAGCGTGGAGCTCTCGGAAGTTAAAACGGCTCGAGCAAGCCCAGGAGCTTCGAACGGCCGGGCTGCTTGGCTGCTTGTGAAAAGCCGTTTTGTGTTTGGAGCGAGTGGATTCCTGTGCGTGTAGCGATTTAGACACTTCAGGCTTCATAGAAGCAGACCACGACTCCGTCAACAACATGGCCCTCTCTTTACCTGGCCGGCCTGCTGCGGGGAGGTGGCAGCGTGAACACCTGAGGCTTTTCGGCAGGTTCTCTGAAGTGTGAGGATCTGCGAACAGCTTGGAGCCAGCCTGGCAAAATGTCGTTGCACACGCTCGCACTGTTCCCGCAACTGCCCAAGCCGCCCAAGCCCAGGCCGCTCAAGGCGGCCGGGCGCTTCGTCCACAAGTCCGCGCCCATCGCTCCGCTACTGCAGGTGCCGTTTTGCCGTCCCTGGGTGGAGGAGTGGGACAGCCATGGACTTCAGGTGCTGGGGCCGATCATCCGTGGCTTCCAGCAGCCTCTGGGAGAGGTGAGGTGTGCTGTGCCCGACTTAACCGTGGGACTTAGCCGCGGCTTAGCCTTCATGAGGTGCAAAAGAAGCTCCTCTTTGACACGCTGATACCATTGCTTCGCACTTACGGAGAAGTCTCTGTTTGGTCCTTGTAAGCGAAGAAGCCGCGAGGCACAAACCGAACGAGTGGCTCCTGTGGGACAGGCAGACTCCTATGATCTCGATGTATCACAAGGACGTGTTGATGACGCCTTGTGCAGATGCTCTGAATCTTCAAGTCCCTCATTCTCTCCCATGTAGGAGCTCGTCCACTGCATGCCTGGAACCTGGAGCCAGGGAATCTGAGAGGCGAACACGGAACACCCAACCCCTGCCCTCTGCCCATTCGCCCAGGCTGCTCATGCTGGAGAGAGAGCCCAAACTGGCTGGAAAGTGCGTTGAGGATACCATCGCGAGCCCTCTCTGATGGATGACATTGACATGACCATGCAAGGCCGTCTGCTCTCACTTCCCTCCATCACATGAGTCAGCCCCTGACATCCTTGCTAGTACAGTCTGAATGTGTTCCCGTCTGGCTTCAGCTGTAGCGCTAAAAAGCCTGCTGTCAGAATAAGAGTGAGGTCCAACACTCCAAAGGAAGTCTTGCTCATCCACGAGATCGCAGAGATCTTGAAGGTACAGCGTCACTTTAACATCTGCGCTCCTTTCTTCACTCTGGTCTGACCAGGTCCTCGATCCAGAGGATGCTCTGGTTTGCATGCCGTGAGCCTGGGGCAAGCGGCAACGGGATGGCTTGCTTTGGTGAAGACAAAGACATCTGTGTGTACTTGTACGTCCCAGGCCCCAGCTGCAAAGGCGGCATTCGTGGCCCCATCTGTTGTGTCCCTTTGTGTCCCTTTCTGGTAGGCACATACTGCGACTGTTGACGTCGCAGAATGGCCAGACTCTGCAGTCAGTGCTGCAGTTGTGGAAGGAGACTCGGCCAATCTCAGCGAAACGCCAAGTGTGTTTCCACATGCCAGGACGAACGCGTCTCGAAGCTTTTGGCCAACTTCGCGGATTCGCTGGTCCCACAGTGCGCTGCTTTTTTAAAGCGAAGCCTTTCTCCGTTGCCGACGCCAGATCCCGGGCATGCTGCCTCTTCTCGTGAGGGACGGCGAGGTGTTCTGGAATCCCACGGCGTGGAGCCCGGTGGGGGGAGATTTTTTGGCCGTGAGTCCGACTGATCGCAGCTGCAGCAATAGTTCATTGATGGGTGGAGGCAGACGCAGCAACTGCAAGCAGCAGACCCGCCCCGCAGTGGTCCCTGCATATGGTCATCCCTCCGTAGGCCTTGAGCTTGGGAGTATTTTTCCCCCCACTGTGTAATGTTGGGGTCAGGGTTGAGCTTCAGGTTTCAGGGCCAGTGGCAGGGGGCGCACCAATCGTGGCAGGGTATTTCATCCCGGGGCCCGGACTGCTACTCCAGTGGAATTTCCACTCCCAGAGCTGCCTGCGACAACAGTCGCAGGGATGGAGCCTGTTGCAGGTGCGATACTCGTGACAAATCGTTGTCTTCGGAAGATGGGATCGTCATGCAAAACTGCCAAGTCATTAGACCACGTTTCACGTGACTTTGCAAGTTTTCGACATGCGGGGCAACTTCTGGCACGTACTGTAGTCGTGATGTCGATGTTGGTTTGGTTTTGTGGTTTTGGACACGGTGCCAACCACAAAGACGAAGAGACCAGGCGACATGTGTGAATGCCATCCGCGCAGCTGAAAGTTGAACACTACCACCTCAAGTGTAATGGCTGTCGCAATAAAGGACAGCTGCAATGTCACCATATAAGAAGGATGCATCTGCAGGACGCGCTGCCCTGCCCTGCCGGCTGAACCGCGGGGCCGGGTGGGCGGGAAATCGAATTACAACACGCACGGCATCCGAAGAGACAGTCGCGACTTCAGCTTCTGCTTGGCTGAAACAAAGCAGCCGGAGACCAATAAGGCAAGGCCCCACATGCACCACGCCACAAGGGGGCAGGGCGTGCCATCGGGTGGCGGCTGCTCAGTCTTCTGCGACACCCAGCTGGGTCGAATGAATTGGTTGGTCCTGGCAGTGACAATATTCCTTGGGGCATTGCTGTGACATTGCAAGGCTTGCTCTGCTGCTCGGTGAAATTACTTGCACAGCATGCAGACCTTGACTAGACCGTGACACCATGAAGCTGGCCACGAGGAGTCTCCTAAATCCTTTCCTCCTACAGGGGCCGACGATAAAGTCGGTGGTGGTTCTCTTGCGTCAAGGGCCGGCAACAGCGCCAATGGAACCGATGGTCTTACCATACGGCAAATGCTCAGCGGACTGGGAGGGAGAAAATCTGAGGGGATTGCGAGCACCAAAGCCAAAGACCTGAGACTGATAAAAGCTCATGAGGTGAACAAAATGACCTGCCTGGTCTTGGAGAAGCTGGAAGCTGCCAGCCCACAGGTCGCATCGTCATCCCGTGCTACGTACTGCAGTAGTCAGTGCAAGCGTGAGAGTGTGTTAGACGCTGCTACTGCTTGCGAGAGTGGAGCTGAAGAGCGCTCTTTTTGTGGCCTGCACTTCTCACCGCTCTTGCCAGCCGCGTGCCACAGCGAGAATACTGGTACAGCAGACCACTTGCAGTAGGGAGCTGCCAGTAGATGCCATTTTAGTCCGCTGGTGGCGGCAGCAAACTCTAGGATCTCCAACCACAGTTAATTCTTCAAGGTTCTGCTGAGAACGCATTTCTGTGTGCTCAGCCATGGCTGCACAACATGCGGAGATGGACCTTTGCTCGGATCTTGGCTTGGTGTCTTGCCACATGGGACAGCGCATATTGAGGCATATTGCATAAACCTCGGCCCGGTGTACAGCGCAGACACATTTTGAGTCCTCCCGCGGTCCAATAGTGCCGCCGCCAAGGCCTTCCTTGTGTCAAGCCTACTGTTCGACAGACATACAGCTGGGCAGGCCCTTGTGAGCTTTCGAATCGAATTCTGCGATTGCTATGGGGGAAGCTCGAAGAGCATGGGATTGTGGTCTTGCTCAAGCTAGGGCCAGATGTGCTCAAAGCAAAGAAAGGATTATCGGGACTCAGCAGGAACTGTGCCGGACCGCTTTGCATTTCTTTCGATAACACCTTGTGAAGGATGCACCTCCAGCACCCAATGATTCGAGTGAGGAGCACTCGAATGGTTCCCAGTCGCTGAGTCATGGCCCTCAGAGTTGCAATGTGTGAGGACGTCGCCTGCCGAAGCTCGGAGTTTGGTATTTCCTGGCTGTCACATGGCTCAAATGGATCAGGTACGATTGCGCGGAGAGAGAGAGAGAGAGAGAGAGAGAGAGAGAGAGAGAGAGAGAGAGAGAGGGGCTCGCTCAACCCCGGCAGCGAGCGAGCGAGCGAGAGAGGGGGTAACCCCTGCACCATAACCCTGGCGAAAGAAAGAGAGAGAGAGAGAGGGAGCCCCTGCCTACTTGGGGGAAACATCTATCGTCGTGTCGCGCCCTTTCGGAAGCCCCGTAACAAATGGGGGGAACAGCCCCTTAAGCCGCGGCGAAAAGGAGAGCGAGACAGAGCGCGCTGATGCCCATTTAGGACCAAGCAAAGCCCCGACTGCCCTCGACATGGTTTTTGATTGTAACTCAAGCTTGGTCCGATTGTTCTGAGGGTGTGTGCCTATAATCGTGGTCGTGATGACACGGGGGCAGAGAAAAGCCTGGGCAGGGGGCGAAACTTCCGTAATTGTGAGGGATGAAGGCTGAGAGGCAGTGAATTGGGACCGTAGTTGATGTAGAGGTGCTGTTCGACAACGTCGCTGAGCCTCGCAGTCGGCCCTGCAACAATCCGTACTTCCTCTGATCCAGTATGGGGTGCACACTCACGAAGACAGGCAACGGGGCATAGAGCAAATGCCGCCAACTTGAACTGAGCATGTGGCCTCAAATCAGGGCCTATAACCTGTCCCCAGGGAAAGAGGAAGAAAGAACGAAAGAGGGAGACTCTGTCGCAGACGTTCAGTGTGGCCAGTGCAGTGGTTTTGTAAGGATGCATGAGGTGCATTGAGGCGTCAGACTCTTGCTTCGCAGGCGTGTGAGGCGAGACCTGCAGGCGGGAAGACTTCCAGATCAACTGAGCCTGCAACAGTTGGGCACACATCAGGCCGTGTTCGAGCTCCCTGTCAGCGAGCCGATCAACTTGACTCACGTTTTGAGGAGCCTGGTCTGGCTTGTGTGTTTATGTATGTATGTATTTATATATCTATATATACACATACATGTGTGCATGTATATGTACAACTAGATGTATATATATATATATATACATACATGTGTGTGTATATATATATATATATATATATATATATACATATGCAAATGCCCTCCAAAACCAAAATTTCAGAAAGTTTAGAATTCAGCATATCAAGGTCTGTCTCATCTCATCGCCCACAGAATATAAGAGGCCGCAGTTAAAATCTTACGATTCCTCATCGTTTTTCCCCAACAGCGTGAGCTCTGGGGTCTTCAGCCGAAATGGTTTGGGGCAGATTGCGCAAGGCTTGAGGCAGCTTGAAGGCGGGTTCCGGGCGGGTTGCTGGGTATAGGAAGCGGATCCAGGTCCAAGGCGCAACATTTTCTGACATTCTTTGACCTTGTTGCCCACGAAGATACGAGTCAAAAACTCACTGTCGGGTAAGCCCTGGGCCTTGGGTACGGCAGCAGATGGTTTCGACAAATGCTAACCAGCACTACCGTCAGTGTGTGTGCATAAGTGCTGTGCCCGGTGAGAGCGTCGGTTGCAGTGCAACACATCTTGTCCACTTTCAGCGAGGCAAGGGAAAATTGGCACGCTGCTGCAAGACCCCGGCATTGACCAGGCATCTCTTCTTCAATATCCAAGCCGTTGTCACTTCGTGCCTGCATGTGGGAGAGAGGCCTTCGACCGCTTGCAAGATGCTCAATGTGTTGTCTTTGGCTCAGCTGTTCAATCGGTGGCTTGAAGTAACCGGGCGTGGAAATGAAGCCTGTCCCTGGGCTGAGCAGCTGCTGCATCCAGGTTTGTGAACGATCATGTTTCGGATTCTTTGAGGTGGGCCGGATCACCTTGCGCCTGATCCAGTGCCTCTGGTCTGACCCTGCGTGCGCATCTGAGGTTCTCCATGTTTGGTTTCCATGAACCCAAAACCCTGATAGCCGAAACCTTAAACCTGAACACCTCAAGCCTCTCAAGCCTCAAGCGTCCCTCCTAAAAGCGTTTTCCAAACTCCCAGGGAGAGGCGCTGCGACCCCGAGACTCTGCAGGGTGACGTGCTCGTGGCCCTGGGCCTCGAAGCGAGGCAGGGCACACCAAATTATGTGTGGCACTACAGCTCAAACGTGCTGTGTTTTGCAGTGATTTTTGAGTGCGTAAATAAATCCTTTCGCAGGGTTATCGTCTGTGTTTCTGTTTGTCCATGTAGTTTTCGGGAAGATCCAACCTCCCGGTTTCGGTGCGCGAATCCTCTGGTATCCTTTGGTGTCATGGTCCCCAGCCTCCTGGGCCTTTGGTGTGCTAGTCCGGGTCTGGCCTTTTGGTCTTTTGGCGTTGTACATCCAAAACTGTGCCTTGTACCTCTGTAAATGTATCCTGCACACGCATCACATGAGAAGTCAATAAATCAAATCAAAATAGACGCTCTGCCAATATTGGAAAGGAATCCGACGTAAATCAACGACTTTCTATTTAGATCATTTTTGTTTCATTTTTTGTTTTCGTAATCATTTTCTAACTTCTTACAATTTTTGTGCAACTGTTGTTTTTTATTTTTCTTCAATTTTCGTTTAATGTTCTTCCAACTCAATTTCTTCTATTTTTGTTCCTACATTTTTAGTTTTTTCAATTGTTGTTCAATTTTCTTTCATCTTTCCAACTTTCAATTCCGTCCAATATTGTTTTGATTTTGTTCCAGATTATCTTTTGATTTCCGTTTGCGGCTGATTTCTGCTTCTGATTTTCTTCTGATTTCCTTTTGATTCTGTGCATGTTGACTTTAGCAGGGAATGGAAGTCGTAACGCTAATGTGTTTGCGCCACTTGTGTCTGGTTTCTGCAGAACGCTATCCGTCCCCAAACTTGCCTCACCTGAAGAGCAAACGGCGCCGTGCTTTTGCAAGTGGCATGTGCCACTTGTGCCACTTGGGCCGCTTGTGCATACTATGAAGCATTATTACTATTACTATCACTATTGCCATTACCACGACAATGACTATTACCAGCACCACTGCCGTTACTTTCACTATTGCTAGTACTGCTAGTACTGATACTACTGCTATTGATTACTATCCTTGATTTCTATAGCTATTACTTTTACTCCTCGGTTACTATGTCTACTACTAGTGCCATTACTATAGACGCCTCTTTTGACATCAACCGCGATGCTACCGCGTTACTAGAACTCTTACTTGTGCTCGCTCTTTCTCTTACTCTTATCTTGCTTATTGCTATTCTGCTTAGTTTTTGCTATTCCTACTGTTGTTACTATTCCTAGTATTATCGTAATTTTAACGCTACGCCGCCCGCCTCGGCTCTGTAGTGGCAGGGCGAGGGTGCAGCGGATGATGCAGGCACATGGTAGGCGGTCCCCGCAAACCCAAGCCCGCAATGATGCCGCCCGGAACAAGAAAAGGCAAGACAGAAGGAGCCTGAAAAGAAAGAAAGGCAGTGGATTGACGCAAAAGCCAAAGGGGGGGCGAGGGAGGGGCGAAGGGGAGGGGGAGGAGAAGCGGGAGGGGGGGTGAGGAAGGGAGGCCAGGAGAGGGGGGGAGGGTGGGGGGGGGGCAGGGGGGAGGGGGGGGGGGGGGGGGGGGGGGGGGGGGGGGGGGGGGGGGGGGGGGGGGGGGAGGGGGGGGGGGGGGGGGGGGGGGGGGGGGGGGGGGGGGGGGAGGCCGACAAATCAGGTAAAATGAGGGGAAGCCGGGCAAGGGGGTGGCAAACGAACGCAAAGACAGGGTGTCACCCAATCATCAGGGAGGAGGATTAGGTGGAGGGTACCTGAGGTAACCACCAAAACGCCTGGGCCTCTGGCCTCGGCGGATTATTGCTATTGTTCTCTTGATCATCGGGTCCAGGGTTGCGTACTCCAGACTCGTACTCTCACTGTTACTTTTACTTTTACTCTTGTTGTTACTGCTACTGTTATTATTACTAGTTGTCAGGTGGCTGGGACAAGTAGCGCAAGCGGCAGAAATGGCATAGGAAAACCGGTGCAAGTGGCACAAGTTGCACAAGCAGGCAAATGGCAGACATACGTTTGTGTGGTCGTTTGTGCCACTTGTGCAAGACTTGTGAAATTTGTGCCGCTTGTGCCTACTATGAATTATATTGACTATGACTATGAGCGAGGTGTATATGGGACAAGTGACCCGGGCAGCACAAAAGGCACAGGTGGTGCAACATGGGCGGCATGTCATGTGGCTCAGGTGGCAGAAGCGGTGCAAGCGGCGTAAATAAACCCCAATTCCTACGCACTCGGAGGCTCGAGTGGCACAAGTGGCCAAGTGGCAGAATTTCGTTCGTGTTTCCCGATCCCCCCGCGCACTGCCTCAGTGCTTTGTTCTGAAGCCCTCAATTTGGAAGGCATGGAGAACGAGACCGCCCAAAAAGCCTGACTCGCCTGCAAGCCTGCGAGAAGAAAAGAGAGTCCCGCGAGGGGGGCATGCCCTCAAGCCTGGGGAAACAAATAGAGCGAGAGCTTCGACACAGGTTAAGTGATTAAAGTTTGGAGACGACCCCGTAAGTGAACCATCAAACATGCTGCAGCTGTACTGTGTTCTTGCCTGATTAGAATTGTCTGTGGGTGCATCCCTGGGCCAGATGCTCGCCGACGACAATTTCTACCGAATCTAACGTTGCATGGTTTTTTTGAGTATGCGAGGAGGAGTTGTAAAATCAAGACACATCACTGTATGACTATATGCATATCCATGTGCGTGTATACATATGGACATGTGTGCATGTACATATATATATATACATACACATACATACATACATATATATATATATATATATATGTAGATAAAGGAGATATAATACATATATATATATATATGTATATATATTCAATCTATGCGTGTACTGTTCCTTCTTATTGTTAACTAACATTTCTTTTTATTCTTTCTCGCTCCCTCTTTTCGACGGAATTGACATGTATACAAGTGATTTTTCATGGGAATGTGTAAACATGACACAAGACGGTGTTTTCATTGAGACGCCGTGAAAATGAGAGGTACCAAAAACGAGAGGGACATGTTGGAAGGGATGCCTGAAGCTCTGAGCAGCTGGAAGACGCTGTCAAAAGCCTCGGCAACTACGAAACCAAAACTCTATAATGATGCCGTGCCGCCAGGCCAGGAGGTCAACCTGTCGGTTTGGAGGACCTGCTGCAAAGTTCACGGTACCGGGGCTTTCGGAGGATTTGCACAAGAGTCGCATTCGGCATTTCCTAGAGCCTCAGCATCCTTGTGTAGGGTGTATAGTAGGGCGGGGCTGTCCCAGGCGACGCTCCGTTCCGGCTGGCCAACGCTGAGGCCGGCTCCCCGGAGTTTCGCAACGAAGAAGCTTAAGCTCTGCAGAATGCTGTCGTATTTCGGAACTCGGATTTCGGACCGGAGCAAGTGCAGTGATCGTCAGAGCTGGTGCATTTATGCTTCACAGGCTCATCCACCTGTATGTGTCGCGGCTCCGCGCGGTGAAGGCCACGAGCCTTAGTGCTTGCGCAGTCGGGTTGATGCTGCTGCAAGTTCTTCCTGGTGAAGACTCGCTGGAAACAGCAGACCCCTCCGTCCAGACAATGGCGACAAAACCAGAATCCGAATCCGACTGATCATACACAAAACTACAGACACCATATTGATAGGATGCTTGTAGTACGTGTAGGGAAGATACATCTGTGACAGGCAAAAATCAGGTCAGGTAGTTGTGACCACAGCTTCAGAGGCCGACGGTGATCTTCGGCGAGCTGATAGCTGGTCCGCAGAGATGGGTGGTCGGTTGCGTCCTTGGATGTATCCAGTCGGTCCAGGGTTCAGGCATGTTCAGGGCGCAGACTGAGGGCACAGATCGTGTCACCCCGGAGGCTTCTACAGGGTGCCCTGATGCCGAGATCCTCTTCCATTGCAGATCAGTGGCAGGAGGCCACTCGCGAGCAGTCGCAGAAGGGGCCCGCAGCGACGGTGTTCGTAGTAGCGATGGTATTGATCTGAGTGTTCGCAGCCTGCTCGGCTCCAAAAGTTCCGCGCAAGGGTGACAGTTCCAATTCAAGGCAACTCATGGCTCCGCCCAGCAGACCCCGACCCCTTCGTTTCGGGCAGACCAGACAAGCCCTCCGACCCTCGCAGCAACTTTCACCTTAAGTCCTTACGGTAGGAGATGCGCTGCGATCCGTGCGCCTGCGGCCCTTATGGCAGGGGGTGTCCACGATGGACATGCGACAGATCAGTCCTTCGTCTGACGTTGCATGCTTTTTTCGGCTTCTCTTGGGCTTCTGTCCGCGTCACCAAGGATGCTGCCGACTGTGCGGTTCGTGAGCAGTCCGGCCCGCAGGAGTTGGGAAAGAGTGCATCTTTTGCAGACTCTCTCGGGGAGCTCGAGGTGCTGGTGATGCCGCGATGCCAGTCTCGAAGGTCTCGAAGGTTGCACCGGCCGTCCCCAAGGAGCACCTTCGCGGGTCTGGAAATACCTTGAGGGTATACAACATGCGAGACGCAGGAGTGCTGGTCAGACCAGGCGCCCGACTCCACTCCGGAGGTCGAGAGGCGTGAGCCAGGGTTGCAAACACTCCTGAACAATGTGGAATCGTTGCCCACAAACAAACTTTGAAGATGTGCCATAAACATGGAAAGAACGTAGGAAGCCACGCATGCCGAAGCGGCAGGAGTTCGGGCAGATCAAGCCCGGCGCCTGCTCGAGGGAGCCACCAGAGCCAGGACTCTTTGAATTTCGCTCACAGGGTTGCATGGAGGGAAGAGGGGCCGTTCATGGTCCTCTGGGGCCGGAGTGCTAAGGGAGTCGCAGGGATCGCGGACTGTATGTGTGAGTGGAAGCTCTGGCACCCTGCATGCGCCCTGCAGGATTCGCCTCAGGGCGATGTGAACGCCACCAAAGTAAGGACCTCGAGCCTCAAAGACAGAAACAGAGGCCGACGCAGCCCTGCTGAAGATAGAGCTCAGCAGACTGTAGGCCGTAGGCACCTTCCTCTTTACGACCTTATGTCCTGTGGCCTTCTTCTTTCCCTGTGGACCTGCGTCTCTGCTTCCTGCGACACAACATGCTCGGTCCCCACGAACTTGTGGCATGTGACTGAGGCAGCAGTCTCCAAGAGGGGCGTGAACAACGAAGTTTGGCGCGAGCGAAAGCCAAGAAAAAGCTGCCCAACGGCTTTGCCTTACAAGCAGCTTGGCTGAGATCCGTACTCACATTCTCCGGCACCTACTGTCAGTTCGAGCGCGTGACCTAGTCCTGCAGGAGCGCATGGAGAACAAGGTGACCGCACGACGCCGGATATCTCAAATCGCAGCGCAGGCCGATCAATTCGAACCCGAATGCAATTTGCCATGAAGTGGTTGTAAGACCGCATTTTTGCCAGGAGCAGCATAGCCGCTGGACTAGGGCACGCTTATGGCTGCTCCCTGTGGTTCGCCACAAGCCGCTTGGAGCGTTAACCCTTTCCTTGCTGCGCTTCCTGTCACTTCCGGATTGAGAATTGCCGCCTTTGATGTGGAGGTACTTCAACCTGTTTGCTGCCATCGTGATCATGGCAAACGCTTTGTTCATGGGAGTGGAGACATCCTACATTTCCTGCTCTGGTGATGTGGAGGGGCTGCTAAACGGAATTGGTATGCTTTCTCACGGCCCAATAGTTTAGCTTGACTCTGCAGTATCGGACACATGGAGCATCTGGTCGGAGCCAGCCGAGGATCGAATGGTATGTTGCCAATGTTTGTTTCACCCAGCTTTTTGTTGTGGAGCTCACACTTCGCTGGTTTGTAGAAGGCGGGGAACATGTTGCACCCTACATACTTCTCGAAAGATGTTGCAGAGGTGAGTCGCTTTTCCTTCGTATTACCATGGACATGATCAGCAAGTTTATTTTCCGTGGACAGAGCACCAAGAGTAGGTCAGCTTGTGGCTGAAGTCTGCCTCCGCAGATCTTCTTTCCTTGCTGCAGGCCTACCTTTCTGGTTCGATCCCTGGAACATCTTTGATGCGCTCTTGGTTCTGTTTTCGTTGTTCGACGTCACTTGGATTCAACAACGTATCGAGGAATCGTAGGGACCCGATTCTATGGCCTCCGTCGCCAAGACGCATGTCGACCTCGTGCCCAGGATTTCGTGCTGGCTTTCCTGCTCTCGGACACATCCCAATCCCAGAATTTGAAGGTGGTTTTCAGGCAAGATGGATGTCAACACGACTGGTTTAACGTGCTTCTGCAGTGCACCACCGAAGCATGCCGCATGCCTCTTCTGGTGTCTGATATGCTGTCGTTCCTGTTCCCTGTTCCCTGATCCAGAATCGCCCGGATGATACGGTTTGTGCGGGTGCTACGGCTGCTCAGACTGTTCAAGGGCCTCTGGTACCTGGTGGAGGGTGCCCTGACTGTCAAGTAGCCCGAGACGTTCTTTTGTCGCATACGTCTATCCAGTGTTGAACTTGACTTAGCTTGCATCTGCCCGCAAGTATTCAGGCATTGTGGCATCGCTGAGTTCGCTGGCTTGGGCCTGGCTGCTCTTAATTGATCGGCACTCAGCATTCGTGTCGGGAAAGGGTTTGAAGAAGCTGAAGGCCTACAACTTATCAAGACGTGATGGTCGCGCCTTTCCCAGGTCATGATGTATCTTCCAGCTATATTTGTCACACAGACATTCGGGAGAGATGTGAATGCCGATGCAAAGACACTAGAGTACTTCGGCTCGCTTCCGTCTCTTGGCGCGGACTGCAGGGTGCGTGAGCTGCGGCATCGTGCGGCATTCTTGAAGTGAAACGATTGTTGGCGGCTGCTGGACTGAGCCGACTGAGGCAGAGCATGTACACGCTCTTCAAGGTTATGACAATGGAGACATGGGCAGATATTGCCCGGCATACGGCCAGGTTATATCCAGGTGCTGAGATCTTCTTCGTGCTGTACATCTTCTGTACCAGTGCCTTGGCCTGCGGTCAACTGTGGCAAACGGTGCGGTCCAGCAGCCGCCCCCACCAATATTTCCAATCTCCGCTCAGGTCTTGCTGTGATGTACTTTTGCTGCAAAACTGAGTCAAAGAGGGGCCAGGCTTGCAGGCTCAGGTGCTGAGCTCCCAATGCAACCGCTTTTCTTGTTCCCTGATCTCAGGAATGTCGTCGTTGCTGTGATTGTGCAGAACACATGTGCCTGGGCACGGCAGTTGGAGCTTCTTTGCCTGTCTCTGGCCGGTACCTCGTAAAGCTTCCTTACTCTCTTTTCGGCTGCGATCTGCCCTCAGGTGTCCACGCGAAGGAGAGGCAAGAAGACATGCGCTCCTTCCAGGTCCACCTAATCTCATGTCTTCCTTTCAGATATGGTTTGCTTGCAGCCGCTGCCGTGGCCAGGAAAAGAAGGATGCCAGTGCCATGCTCAAGATTCTGGAAGTCTTCCAGAGACTTGGCAAGGTTGGGTTTGCAATGCGGTGGCCGAGTGGCCTCCGTCGGTTTGTACTCTATCTCTCTGTCTTTCACTGTCTCAGTCTCACTCTCTCTCACTTGCTCTGCTACTCTCGCATCTGCGACTCTTGGCTCCATCAGCCCCCTGAATTTCGTTCAATTGCGATGTCAGGTCACTGCTTGTCTTTTAACTGGTGTTCTTTTCTCTCGTTGCCTTGTCTTAGTAGAGAGCAAAGGACTGCAGATGTCCAGAACACTGGTTCAGTCACGAAGAAGGACCGGAATGGTTTGATTGATTGTTGTCCGTCAGTGAAAGTCCTGTCTGGATCCGGAAGGAGAGTTCATTGGTTGTTGTCCGGTTGCGCTTGTTGTGCAGGAGTTTCTGGAAGCCATGAACATCCCGTCCGTTATGCAGCTGATGCATGAGGCCGTCGCTGTTCTGTCGACTACAGCTGGAGTGTCACGGCATGCTAGGACTCCCAAGGCCGGCCGAAGTGCCGGTGCTCGGCGCTTCTACGCCAGGTACAGATCGACGTGCGGCAGGTGGAGACCTTGTTCGACGTCCTCGACTACAACAGCTCAGGCACGCTGGATTCCGAAGAGTTCGTGGAGGCCGGTCACCGGGTGGCTAAAACGTACAGCATCGGGCTGCACGGAGTGCGGCTGTATTGTGGCAATCGTTTCTAGCTGCCCTTGGTCCTTGCAACAGTGCAGGCCCTGAACCCTCGACCACAGGCCCTGCAGCTTTGCTGTGCTCCTAAAACACTTAAGCCACAACAAATGCTCACACGGAGCAAGCCCAGCAGCCGCCACCACCGCCACCACCAACAACAAGAAGAGGGATAAGCGTGCCGCACTGCCAACTAAAACAGAAAGTCGGCAACTACACCAAACGCCCAACGACTTAAAAAGACTGCAACGGACAAATCAACCGACTAATGACATTCTCCAGTAAAGTATTGCGTACATGTACGGGGAGTAGGGTCCCGAAGCTGAAGCTTAATGCACCGCCAGGTATGGAGCCTGAGTTTGATGTCCAGGGAATTCGGTGCTTTCTCCTAGTCACAAGTCTAAACAGAATAGACTAGGTTTTTGGAGAGAAACAGGAGAATTCAGTGTCCTAGTTTAAATGGAACAGGTTAGGTTTTTGCTTAGTAACTAGGGTGCGCGGAGTTTTCTCCTACTCTAAATGGAACGGACTAGGTCTTTGGAAGGAATCTTCTATGATTCTGCTAGTCTAAACAGAATTGGAGAGAAACTGGTCAGGTTTTCAATTTTTGTGAAGAATTTAGGGAATTCTGTGTTCTCTCCTAAATAAACAGTCTAAACCCAATAGACTAGAAACTTGGAGAGAAACTAGAGAATTCTGTAAAATGGAGCTGACTAGGAGTTCGGAAAGAATCCAGGAAATTCGGTGCTTTCTCCTAGTCTAAATGGAACGGCCGCTACCGAAGACCTCAGTGGTCTGGCAGCGGCATTCTGTCAAACGCCACGTAAGATGCCAAGATGGCCTCGGCTGTAGAGTTCAGGGCTTAGGGCTAGTATGGTTCCCATTTGGAAACCCTAAAATAAAACACACTTTCAGAGTTTATGTTTGGAGGAGGGAGGCCCTCCGCTTAATATTAGGGGAAGGGGTTAACAACAGCAGCAGCAACAGCAGCAGCAGCAGCAGCAAGAAGAACAACAACAACACCAGCACCCGCAACAGCAACGACAACAGCAACAGCAAAAGCAACCACGAACCACGAACCGCAGTAACAGTCACCACAACAACAAGGAGCGCACTAAAACAAAAGCCCCATTCCAACAACGAACTTCTTGGTTTTGTCTCTTTTACCAGACTGGAGACAAAACCTGAGGCCCAACAACTACAACAACAAGCGCCACTGCCACCGTCACTACTGCTATTGCTATTGCTGCTGCTTCTACTCCAGTCCCTGGCTCCAGGGCATCATGCTGGCGAGAGGGGAAGCCAGAAGTCGCGAGGTCATCGCGGCGCAGTGTGACCTTTGGAAGGCCGAGAAGAAGCAGGGTTTAGGTATGCGGGGCTCTACAACGCAGACCAGTCGCATGCAGGTTTGCGTTCTGTATTTCGTTCATCCGTTTGAGCTGGGCATGGCACACAAGCATACCCAGGCATTGCTGTTATATCTAGATCTGATGGAGCAGCAACAAAACATCATTGATGCTGCGCCTGCGAAACGACATGACCGATCGTGCCAGACTGCTTAGGCTTCTGCACTAAACGGAAAAATGGCAGCAGAGGAGCTGTACGAAAAGGAAATGAACGCAAGAGCTGATTAACCTGTCCGCAATTTCCGGCCCTAGAACGGCTTTGCTGAGTTTCGTTTTCCGTTTGACGCGGATTGTCTGCTGGTCGAGCATAATATTTCTTCTTTCGGAGGAGACGTGCTGCGAATCCGCCATGACTTGACCAGTTGCACTGGCAACTCTTGCTGTGAGGTAAGTTGAGGGACGACTCCGAACAGCTGAATGCTTGGCTGCCGAAGGGGTGAACGAGAGATGGAAGAAACTGTGTTTGTCTTTCGTCGAAGATGCACCGACTAATGGCATTCCTAGCCAGCCATAAACCTTCCCGTGGGGATGCCCACCAGAAGATGACAAACCCACTTGCTCAAAGTCGTACCGAAGATGATCTCGGCAATGAAAGCCACAAGTCCCTGTGAAAGGCAGGACGCAGTGAAGGGCCAAGAGCAAGCTTGGTTCTTGCTTTGCAGCACCACGTTTGGGAGTCTGGTTTGCCAGGACGAGCACGACACCATCAAGACGCTTGAACAGCTCGAAGATGAGATTGGGGAAGCGTGACTTGGCCTGGAACAGTTGCCGCATCGTATAATCAGCTGCCTGTTTTTTGTGTCAGTCAAAGCTACTTCCCGTCCATGCTAACTGTTTCATTGTTGAATCCCACCATGACCAGCTTAAGTTTAAGCTGAGTCAGTATCAGTTCTAGTACTTGCGGTGCTGGTACTAGAGTTGGTGTATTCTAATCTTGCTATTGCTTTCGTAATTTCACTCTAAACCTTTACTGTTGTTGCTATCAGAGCTTGTGCTATGGCCATGCTTGCCCTCTTGTTCTCCGTCTTCTTCCGCAACTCCGTAGTGTTGTTTCATTGCAATGGTATGGCATCATTAGCTACCACATAGTCATGAGTACCCTTTATGTGTCGAGCCTCAGGTTGTAGCAGCTTACTTATCTTTGTCTGATGGCCCTTGAATCAGACGGGCTGGGATGAACGTGAACCTCAGGTTCGATGGGATGAACAGGCTCATTGAGACATTCCATGCCAACTTGCTGTCGGCGCGTGGAGCAACGGCAGAGCATGCTGAACACATCGTCACTGGCAGCGATCACTAGCTGCTGCGGAGGAGACTCGAGGATGTCCCAAAGCGCAGCCCGGAAGCCTCAGCAGAGGATTCCTTCGCAATCAAACTCCCACTTCCTGCGCTTGGACATCCTCCGGTTTCCTCCAGGCGAATTCGAGCAGAGATCTCACGAACAAAGATTGCCTTGGTAGTTGACACGAAGACATGCCTTTTGTCCCTGGCAACTTCACGGTTTAAGGATCAGTGAGTCGGGTGCGGCGACCAAGGAAGCTCTGGTATGCAACAAGCAGTACCAGATACCAGATTTAAGAAGCGCTTCTTGAAGCCATCCACAGGGCATAGTGGAATGATTGTAAATACCCACAATGAAGCTAACTCTAGGCCTTGTTTTCAAAGCTGGTCGAAAGAGGCGTTTATCAGAGATAATACCAGCTTTCGTCGAGATTCCGTTCCAAACCACACAGCTACTTGAACCGTGGCGATGAAGGTTCCCGACAAGGGGCTTGTCTTGATCAGGCTTCTTCCCATTCAGCTTTGCAAGAAGTTCGCTCCAAGTCAGGGGGTTCCTTCCCGTCGCTCAGTTTGTTTGGCATCGTGTGCCACGCAGGCTTTGCTCGTGTGTATCGCCAGGCAGCAGAAGCGAGAATGAGAGCAAGAGACACCGAAATGGAACAATCGCCATTCGCTCATTTGACCTGTAACTGTGACATGACGAATTATATCGAGACAAGCTAGTGTGTTTTGCTTGCCTGGCAAGAGGATCTGCCGCAAGAGCCTCTTTCTGAATCATCTGCGCTGTGACCTGTCTCGGATAATGTGAACACAGTACTGGCGGCTATCGTGGTTGTGGGTCGTCCCTCCGTTTCCGTTTTGTCAAGTCATGTAGAGACATCACTTCCGAGGTGGCGCAATTCAAGATTAATTCTTCTTGCGGTCACGCCACTGCTGCAATGCCTTGTGACGTACTTAGATCATCTAACCATTTGGCAGCCCTTAGCAATTGGACTGCATCGGCATCTGTTGCAGTGGCAATAGAGCTGCGGTGGTTAAACCACCGCAGTAGTGGCCCAGGCTGCCGACTCATCTCTGTAGCCTTTTGCCGAGGAATGCCCAGAAGCCTGCCAAGCAGGTCGGGTATTCTCAGAGGTGCCTGTGAATGTCTTCCGAGTCTACACAATCAGTATACTAATTCCCTGCAGTTCTTGTGCTTCTGATGTTCAAAGCGATCGCTCGACGTTTCACTTGATATTGTGCACCACATGCCCAGGCTTCAGAAAATGTCGGCGATCATTCATAGTGCTATTGGTGTCACCCAGGCATAGTCTGCAGTCGTGCGTGTTATCGCATTTGGGAGGAAGTGGTGTTGATTCGTGCAGCGGTGGTACTATCCTCAGTGCTATGCGGAGGTGCTCCCGGAGTCTGCCCACCGGACAACTAGACCTTTCTGAAATCTCCTCGAGCTCCCAAGCTTTCAAGGAGATTATGAGCCGCAGCTCCCACTACGAGGCGCCCCCACGTCGGTGTTGCCTTCCGCCAGCGGAACACAAAAGCGTTCTTGTTGTTGAACAGGCTTGCAAAGGCTTCGCAGAGTGGCCGCAGAGCACCCAGCCTGTGCCCACTAAGCACAAAACGGAGGCTGTAGGGAAATGAGCAGTGGACTCCTGACTCCTGGACCTGCTGCGCGTCGAGGTCCTGCCCATATCGACCTCCATTCGATCTTGCACTATGTGGGCAGGGCACTGAACTTAGCCGCCTCATTGCATGTGTTGGAAAGGCGTCTGCCAGCTGATGTTCAAGTCCGGTAATTATACCCCGACATTTATCTCTCGATGTAAAATCTTAACCGAACTGTTGATAGCGGACAGATACAGATCAGTAAATAGCGAAACAAATGAGCAAGCAGGTATATTACATGTGAATGTGCCATATACGCACACCTAACACGCTGATCAGTTCGGTTCGGTTCAACCAGCCCGCCGTTGCGTCGAAGATGCAACCGCAGGTTGGATTTGACAAAAGGTTCCTGGAAGGTTCATCCCTCACAGACGAAAACCGCAAGAAGCGAACCCAACAGGAAACAGCGAAGGAGTGAACCGACCCACCCCGACAACCCCAAACCAGAACCCCAGAGACGGCTGCAAACCCAACTCGAAACCGTAGACAGGAAGCCATAAACCCGAAGGAGGCGAGAACCCTAGTGAAACCAGCCCAACACCAGAAGGGGTCTCGAAAACTTACACCAGAAGCCGAAAGCCATAAGCGGGGAGGCGAAGACCTGTAAGGAATGAGCCCCTCTTGCGACCTTACACCGAAAGCCGAAATCCCTAAGAACCCGAAAAACGAACTGAACCAGCAGGAAAACCGAATAAGTGAACTGAACCCCGAAACTTGCATCAGAAGCCGAAAACTCCAGGAGAACAACCTTTACCGGGGGTTTCTCAATCAGATTCGTGTGTTCAGCCCCAAGAGTGGCCATGCTGAGAGGAAGAGTTCCCTTGAACGTGTTTTTTGCAGGTGCATGTAGCGCTTGCGAAGACAGGTATCCAGCTCAAAGCATAATAGTGCCGAATGAGCCAATCGTCGAAAGAACTATGCAAGGTCCTGTTCGAAACTAAAGGTCAAACATAGTATCCCGTGCTGTGCTGTATGATACTGTATGCTTTGAAGAATCTGGCTTTCGTCTGCGATCGTCGCCCAAAGACATTCTGGCAAGGGTAGCCAAGAAAGGCAAGTACTCGGGTTGTTCGGACTATCGTCCGAGTCCGGGTTGCTGTCCTCCCATGACATCAAGAGCTTCGTGAAGGCCCTACTACCAGATTGCGGCAGACAAAGACATTCTAGAGGCACGGGTGTATTGGACCTCTATGTATGATTTGCAGGTCTCGGTTGTTTCAAAGGACGCATAGGAGATACGAGAATACAGAAACCAGTTTCAATAATTTCAATTTTTTCAAAAATTTTTCCTTTTGAGGAAAATTTTTGAAAAAATTGAAATTTTTGAAAAAATAAAGACCTGGCCAGGCCCGGCCGTCGCAGGCCAGGATTCTTTAAAATTTTTGAAAAAATTGAAATTTTTGAAATTTTTGAAAAAATAAAGACAATTTTTTCAAAAATTTCAATTTTTTCAAAATTTTTCCTTTTGAGGAAAATTTTTGAAAAAAATGAAATTTTTGAAAAAATAAAGACCTGGCCAGGCCCGGCCGTCGCAGGCCAGGATTCTTTAAAATTTTTGAAAAAATTGAAATTTTTGAAATTTTTGAAAAAATAAAGACAATTTTTTCAAAAATTTCAATTTTTTCAAAAAATTTTCCTTTTGAGTGAAATATTTGAAAAAATTGAAATTTTTGAAAAAATTGTCTTTATTTTTTCAAAAATTTCAAAAATTTCAATTTTTTTAAAAATTTTAAAGAATCCTGGCCTGCGACGGCCGGGCCTGGCCAGAGTCTTTATTTTTTCAAAAATTTCAATTTTTTCAATAATTTTCCTCAAAAGGAAAAATTTTTGAAAAAATTGAAATTTTTGAAAAAATTGTCTTTATTTTTTCAAAAATTTCAAAAATTTCAATTTTTTCAAAAATTTTAAAGAATCCTGGCCTGCGACGGCCGGGCCTGGCCAGGTCTTTATTTTTTCAAAATTTCAATTTTTTCAATAATTTTCCTCAAAAGGAAAAATTTTTGAAAAAATTGAAATTTTTGAAAAAATTGTCTTTATTTTTTCAAAAATTTCAAAAATTTCAATTTTTTCAAAAATTTTAAAGAATCCTGAGGGCCGCGCCTGGCCAGGGTCTTTATTTTTTCAATATTTTCAATTTTTTCAAAAATTTTCATCAAAAGGAAAAAATTTTGAAAAAATTGAAACTTTTGAAAAAATTGTCTTTATTTTTTCAAAAATTTCAAAAATTTCAAAAATTTCAATTTTTTCAAAAAATGTTAAAGAATCCTGGTTTGCGACGGTCGGGCCTGGCCAGGGTCTTTATTTTTTCAAATAGTTTCATTGTTTCAACACGTGTTCCTTTTGAGGTAATTCGAAGCACTTTGAAACAATTGTCTTTATTTTTAAAGAATTTCAAGCTTTTTTCCGAATTATTAAAGAATACCCTTTTCTTGTTGGGGTGGAGGACCTGCAACGGGATCTCTTCCTTTACCAAGAGGTTTTTGGAGCAGCCCTCTTCTTTCTTGTGAAATTGGAGCGAGCTTTCTTCCTGTTTTCGATGATTAGGTACAGAACTCACACACTGTTGGGGGGGTCGTCTCTGTCTTCTGTGGCTAGGAGTGAAGTCTCTCCAGTCTTGAGAAGCGGCTTACCAATAGATAATGGACATCTCTTCTAGAAAGAAGCCCTCTTCTCTTGCCACGGAACTCTTGGGGAGGAGCTCTCTTCTTGTTGGCGGCATGAGGTGGGGGAGTTTTCATGGTTGAAAGAAGGAAAAGAGGCTGGGTGGGAGCTCCACCATCTCTTAGGTTCACTTCCATATTTTGAAAAGGTAGAAGGGATAGTCAGTATCTCGTTTTTTACCTGTAGAGAAGCTTGGTCTCTTCTTGCCGACTGAGGGGTGAACGGAGCTCTCCTTTTTCTCGAAAACTTGTAGGTACATGGTTTTCATTTTGTAGATGGAGCTCTCTTCTGTCTCATCAGGTTGGAGGAAGCTCTCAGTCTCTTCTTCTTTTGCTTTTGTCTTTGGAAGTTGGGGGAGCTCTGGTAAACTCCAGTCCAACTTCTGAAGAGGAAGAAGGGATAGTCAGGAGCTCTCTTAATTTCCCTTGCCAAGGGAGAAAAGAGGCTTTATTTCGCCGACTGAGGGATAAGTGGGGCGATCTCCTCTTTCGCGAAGTTGGAGGGGCTTATGTAATGTTTCTCGAGAAGCTAGAGGGGCCTGTCTTCTGGGTCGTTGGGGGTAGGGGACCTGCCACGGGATCTCCTCCTCAGCCCTCTTCTTCGTTATGAAATTGGAGCGAGCTTTCCTTTGGTTTTGGATGATAAGGTATTGCTTCATTGTTGAGTGTAGGGGCGTCTCTGTCCTCTCTGGCTGGG